TTGATTGGTTATGTTTATAGTGATGTTAGTGTTGGTTGAAGCATTTTCTACATGGAATGAACTTCTTGGCGGTAAGTTTAAATTTGTTTTAGATGAATAAAATTCAGCGTTGTGGAAGTTTATTAAAGTAGCACTGCTATAAGACTAGCTCTTTTTACGTTAGTTTTTAGAAGTTTTTTCAGACTGGATAATAACCGCTATAAACGCCAATGAATAATAGAGAAATTTTTTAGAATGGACTTGAAATTTTCATTTTTAATTCCGTTGCAGTATAATTAATGGATGGAAAATGATCCGTAGCCATTTGGATATATCCAAGTTATGGTTGGAAAGGTATGAGGATGTGTTGAAATTTAAGTCTAATTTTTAAGACTGTAAAACAATGAGAAAGTAGGAGTGCAGCAAATGATTTGGTGATGGTAGTTGCTATTACATAGTTACCAGGAGATTACTAGTATAAATTTTTTGTTGTCATTAACTGTCTTTTATGGTTTATTTTAAATGTAAAACAGCTCTTCAGGATGTCGCCGACGTTTTAACGAATTTTATTTACGTATATATATATATATTTTTTTTTTCTTGAAAAAGAGTTTGAGCGATATTTTCAGAACACTGAACATTAATAAAATTTAAGTTTTCAACACTTGAAGGGTGCAACAGTTAGAACGAAATCTGCAAGAGCAGGATAAATATTAGAGAACAGTTCAAATTTAGATTAATGTATTTGTGCAATTGAAGCTATATAATTTACTGTTATAACTGAAAATTGTGGCTCATTCTAAGCATTGTAGTTAGTTGGTTGGCAAGAATAAACATTTTTTTCTTAAATCGAAGATTCTTTGCAAAATAAAAATTAATCATTTTTGGTAGATGCACTTGTTTATTTTTGTGGTCTTAGTGATTACTCATTGGTCTCTAGTCATTGCATTGATATACGCTTCAAAGTACAAGTTACGTTTTAAAATGCTCAAAGATGTATTAGTTGTTGAAACAGGTGGGAAAGAGGAAAAGAGAGAATACAGTAAGGATCTTACTGGTGAAAATTTATTGTTACTGATGTCACCAGCATAACAGTTAATGAAGTGACTGTCATTTTATTTCCTTAACAGAAGTGATTAGAAGAAATTAGTTTTCTTGTTGAATTAAGCTTAGAGATGTGTATCAATCTAATTACGGGGAGTTAGTTGGTTTATATATATATATATATATAT